AAAGAGAGATGTATATTATGCTTTCCACATTGTAAATCTTGTAACCCGCAAGTCTAAAATTATAATAATAAATGATAACGCAATAGCCATTTGCTCCTTCTAAAAAAAAAAAATAATAATAATATCTTTGTATATTAATAATTTATAAAATAACAATCTATTATACAAAACATAATAGGAGGATAAACAGTATAAGATAAAGAAGCCCTCTGATTGGTTGCAGGTTTGAATAATGTACACATGATATAAGCCACAACATTAATAATGTGATTCAAATCCCGTACATATAGCGAAATACAAAGATACAACTAAAAAACAAAGACGCTTTTATAATTATTGATGATAGCACTACCTGCAAGTGGGGTGAAGAGAACGTATGACCTGTATTTTCAAAGAATGCCTTAATCGTCAATTCTATAAAATATAAAAGCTGCCGGCCAGATTTATTATAAAACAAAGTAAGTTGTATACACGTTACTTTTAAATTTTTTTTTTTATTATCTATTAAATATTTTTTTTCGTAGTTATCGATACGAATTGGGTAATAATACCATCGCAAGTAGGGCAAAGGGACATAATGCGTATTTTTGGAGATCACCTAATCAATTCAGCAAAATACAAAATCTCGTTAGGTTTATTATGAAATAAAGTAAGTTGTATTGTATTATACATGTGCCTTTTTTTTTTTTATAAAAATTTTTTTTCATAGTTATTTGATACGGGTTAAGTGAAAGTATCACCCGCAAGTGGGGCGAAGGTATTTTTGGAGATCTCCATGATTGATTGGATAAAATGCTAAACTCTTTAACAACAGTACGGAACAATTATTCACAATCTCTGGAGTGATAAATATGAATAAATTTTAGTAATATATAGTTTCAAATAAAAATAAAAAATTTTTACTTATTACTCATTTGATAATAAGTAAGTCACTATTATATTTTTCTTTTGCCAATGTATCTGCCTTATTGTTCCAGAAATTATTGGAATGCTCCTTCACTTTCACCATGATAAGAATAATGTTATACAACTGAAGAGACCTTCTGATTAGGTTTAGGATTCTAGACAATTTGTGTCTATGGGAGTTATGTATACACTTAAGAGTTTTATAAATAAGATCTATAGCATTTTGACTATCCGTAAAAATTATTATGTTTCTACCCAGTGGCATGACATAAATAACAGATAGGATAGAAATTAATTCTACCTTAGTAATGTCAAATTAATGTATAAGTATGGCATTAAACCATAAATGAGGTTGCTCTTTAACTACATATCCCACTGCATCTTTGTTGTCTCAGATAGATTCATCAGTGAAAAACGTTATTTTATCTATGTTTAAAAGCTGGGATCTGAGTGCTATAACCTATCATTGTTTACAGAGTCAAAGGGGAATCGAATTCTTCTAGGCCTGACCTTTCCTTAATAACAGACATTCATTTTATGTCTTTTGTATCTGCTATGATTCTCTTATATAAGGTAAGTGATTCAGATCTTGTTGAGATAGTAGAGGTGACCACTGGGAATTTCGTATATTGAGAAAAAAATTGCTTATATTTATATGTTTCTTCGTTTGGTATGATAGGGATTTGCCTTAAATGCTCCTGAAGAATATAGTTAGTGAAGTTCAGAGATTGCAATTTAAAGTTGCATGACTTTGTTTCATTTTGGGTCTGCTGAAGCCCACGCATTATACCCCCATATGAACCCAAATGTTCTATAAGACTTCTCATATGACACATATTTTCAATATTTGTGATATGAGATTTCACAAATAAAATCTTTTGTCTTATAAAAATCTCAAATATCGTATTCTATATTGATGTTAAAATAAAAGGTTGTTGAGATGATATTTAATCGCTGGTAATAACACCATATTTTATATATATGCAATTTGTGAACTAAAACTTAATTTAAATTATATAATTGATTAATATTTGTTAATTATTGATGTGTTATTAGCACATAGTATTTTTTCTTTTCCTGCTTTAAAGAAATTCGTTCTAATTAAAGTGTTTATATACATACCTGATATAATGAATTCACCTTAAAGAGTATTATTATTGAGTTTATGAGATTGCGATCTAAAGGTCTAGATGCTGATGTTAAAACAGAGTTGCATAACTTGACTTCATTTTGGAACTGCTAGAGCCTACGCTTTATGCTCTCTGAAAGTTCATATGAACCCAAATGTTTTGAGATTTTTATATATAATGATATAAGATTTTGCAAATAAAGCCTTCCATCTTATAAGGTCCTAATATTGTGTGTTAGAATGAGAGGTGATAATATTCAATTGCTGGTAGTATTATAATGAACTGTAAATTATAAATTTACATTTGTTATATCGATGTGTTATTAGCATATAATCTTTATTTTTTTTCTCGCTTTAAAATAAATTCCTTTCAATTAAATTGATATATTTATATATGCAAAGCAAAGAATAAGAATAAATAACAAAGCTACTGCATAACAGCAAAGAAGAAAACGTGAGTGCGATGAAAAGAAAAAAACGAATAAAAGAGCCACCACACAGCAACAGTAAAGAAGGCGCGAACAATTATCCACCATTGAACTAGATATTAACCTGACTATATTATGCCAAAATCAAGATAATATGCAACATGATCTCGGTTGCATAGATATAGAGTATAGTCATTGTGGCACACTCCATTGGTTAGATGAACGCTTAACAAATTCTTCAAGAAAAAATCCAAAATTTGGATTATGTTGTCTAAATGGAAAAGTTGTCCTTCCTCTCCTTCGTGATCCTCCGCCTTTTTTACGAATGCTCTTTGATGGTGAAGCTGATTTTTGTTCAAAATTTCGCAAGAACATTTGTCAATATAACGCAGCACATGCATTTACATCATTAGGTGCAAAAATTAATATAAGCATTCTGCAAGGGCATAATCCATATAGCTTTTACATTTACAGAGAGCTACGCCACCTTTCGGAAGCTCTATTATCCAATGCGGATCAAGAAGCTACTTATGCTCAACTTTATATATATGACCCCAATGTTTTCCTTCAAATAAAAATGTGACGTAATAAAGATTTATCGGCACAAATAATGTGGAAAATACAGGAAACTTTGTGAAAAAGCTAAGGATCCTAACGATTCTCTTCGATTCTGTATTCGATTCTCAAGTTTATATTAAATTTAATAGGTGGAGTATATCTCATTATCATTTCTAATAGTGTTCCGAACCTCATGCGATTCTGTTCGATTCTATTCGATTCCAATTTTCAGAACCATAGAAAAAGCCATGCATTCTTTCCATTTTATCAACAGGCACATAAAATTCTTCTCCAAGCCCATGAAGACGGTACTGATGAAGATGTAGCAATCTATCTCCACTACACAAACACGACAGATAAGCATTGCTATAATCTCCTTACAATAAACGAGATAGCTGTTATTCTACCAGGTGATGGATCAGTACCAGAGGCGATACGTGATATTATCATTCGATTGTGTGAAGGTTCACTTGAACGTATTCATAAAGGGCATCCAGCATATTTGCCATTGCATTATGTGCTTCTTTTTCCATATGGTGAGCTTGGATGGCATGAAGGATTGCGTCATGCATTGACAGATACTGAGGAACAGCAACTTAATAATCAGAACAAGCATTCTCACCTTACACAAATGAACTTCTATTCTTTTCGTATCTTTCTATGCAATACCGAATTATCAATGATCCTTCGAGATGGAAAGTTACTCCATGAGTTCATGGTTGATACATGGGCAGCAACAGAGCAAAATCGGTTAAGGTACTTGTATATGAATCAAGATATACTACGTGCTGACATTTATCAAGGGCTTGCTGATGCTGCAGAAAATATTACAAATGGGAAGCTAATGCCTAATAATCTTGGATGTCGAATAATTTTACCTTCCATACATATTGGCAGTGCACGTCACATGTTTGAGATCTTTTAGGATTTCATGGCTATTACTCGATTCTATCAACATCCTAATATCTTTGAAACCATGACTGCAAACGTGAATTGGCCAGAAATTATCAATGAGTTGCTATCCAGTCAGACTTCGATGGATCGACCAGACTTGGTAGCACGCGTATTTGAGTTAAAACGTTGTTCTCTTTTTCACGATATCAAGGAAAATGACATTTTCGGTAAAGCAGTCACTCATATCTATACAATTGAATTTCAAAAACGTGGCCTTTCTCATATACAATTTTTGATCTTTCTATGCAATGACTGCAAAATCAAGAAACTTGCAGATGTTGATTATATTGTGTGTGCAGAGTTCCCTGACAAGGAGACAGATCCGATGCTATTTGATATCGTATTACGTTATAGGGTTTACAGGCCTTGTGGTGTTCGTAACCCACGAGCTCCATGTATGAAACATGGCAAATGTAAAAAAAATTATCCAAAAAACTTTCATAATATAACATTCATGGATGAAGATGGATACCCCCACTATGCTAAAAGAGAGAATGGACAGATATTTAATATTGGCAATAAAACTGTTAATAATCGGGATATAGTACCTTACAACCTGACTCTCAGCCATAAATACAATTGTCATATTAATATTGAGGTCTGTGCATCTGTACGTGCCATCAAATACATTCACAAGTACATCTACAAAGATCATGACTGGACTACAATGAAATTCGGACAAGAACCTGATGAGATCAAACAGTATATCGATGCAAGATATGTTAGTGCATCCAAAGCCGCATGGTGTCTTTTTGATATGAAAATGTACGAAGAGGTACCAAATATAGTGCAATTGGCATTACATCTTTCAGAAATGCATAGTGTCATCTTTAATCCTAATGATGATGTCGCACATGTTCTTGCCTGTGCTAACCGACAAAAAACTACTCTTATAGCTTTCTTTGAGATGTGCTCAACTATTAATATAGCCCGCCAGTATATGTACCAGGAATTCCCTTAACATTTTGTTTGGAACAAAAAAGACAAAGGATGGACAATACAAAAGCGAGAATTTGCTATCGATAGACTATATTTTGCTAATCCGTCTGTGAAGGAAATCTTTTACCTTCAGCTCCTTCTTACTGTTGTTTGTGACCCACAATCGTTTAATCACTTAAAAATGGTCAATAATATTGCCCACCCAACATTTAAAGATGAATGTCTAGCCCTGGGTTTATTAGAGGACAATGAAGAATAGATCCAGTGTCTAGAAGAAGCTGCAGTCATATGTAGTAGCTTTCAACTGAGGTTACTTTTTGCTATTATACTTATACATTGCACTTCAACTCAACCTCAAGATTTATGGTTATGCTTTCGTGTTAATCTCTGTGATGATCTCTTTTATCATCTAAGTAATAAACATGTTATTCGTGAACCTACGGAAAATCAGATATTTGATTTTGGACTTTTTCTCCTTGACAACATCCTGCATAATTTTAATCAACATCTTGGCATGTTCTTTTTGATGCCTCTTTGGGAGCATAACTGGGATAATTATCAGAGAAACCGTTTCATTTCTGAACATTTAAATTGGGATCAAAATAAGCTTCGAAATATAGTTGACAATCTTATTTCTCAGATGAATAATGAGCAGCGTGCAGCATATCAAGGCATTTTCAACTTCGTAACTGAATAACATGATAAATTATTTTTTCTTAATGGTCCTGCTAGAACTGGAAAGACTTTTGTATATAATATCCTTGTTAAAAAGGTTCGCAGTGAAGGCATGGTCACGATTTGTGTAGCTTCCTCAGGCATCACTGCTCTTTTGCTCAGTGATGGATGGACGGCTCATTCAATATTCAAAATTCCCATCAATATCAATGATAGTTCATTTTGTTCAATTGAAAAAAACTCTGCTCATGCTGATTTAATACGTTGCACATCCCTTATTATTTGGGATGAAGTACCAATGCAACATCGTCACTGTGTTGAGGCAGTTGATTGCACCTTACGAGATATTCGTAATGATCAATGTTTATTTGGAGGAATTACATTTGTATTCGGTGGCAATTTCCGTCAAACTTTGCCTATTGTTGTTAAGGGCTCTTGAGAACAAGTTATAGATGCTTTACTTCAAAGATCGCAGTTATAGAGGCATGTTAAAATACATACATTAAAGAAAAATATGTGTCTTGAGAGTGAATCAGAAGAAAATAAATGATAAACACAATGGCTTTTAGATATAAGAATTGTAGACATTTCTCTTATCATTATATTTGATATTATATCTAAATATTCTTTTACTCTATGTTATAGGTTGGAAATGACGTTAATGAATCTAAAGTTGCTATTCTGAAAAACATGAGAGTTAGTCCTGATTTAAAATCTCTTATCGACGCAGTTTATTATAACATCGGCGTCAAAGGTATATGCACTAATCAATATCTTAAGGACCAGATAATACTCTTCTCACGCAATGATAATGTTGATGCTATTAACCGTACCATTCTTAACATTTTTCCTGGAAATAAACAGACATATTTAAGTTCAAATAATGTTGTTATAGAGGAAGGTGCTGATAATATTGAAAATATCTATTCCGTTGAATATCTGAATTCTCTTAATTCTGTCGGTATGCCACTGTCGAAACTTGATCTCAAGATTGGATGTCCCACCATACTTCTTCGTAACCTTTCACCTTATCAGGGTCTCTGCAATGGTTCTCGCTTAGTCATAACAAGGCTTACAGATCATGTAGTTGAGGCTTGCATTTTATGCAGTGACCATGTTGGCAAATTAGTTTTTATTTCCCGAATATCTCTTACTTCTTCTACTTCAGAACTTCCATTTACTTTTAAATGCTGCCAGTTTCCCATCCGTCTAGCTTTCATCATAACTATAAACAAGTCGCAGGGCCAATCTGTGAAACATGTTAGGTTAGATCTTAGAACATTTGTTTTCTCTCATGGGTAACTCTACGTAGCTCTTTCTCGATGTACTTCTTTACGTTTTATAAAAGTTCTCCTTTGTGACGACTTCATTTCAAATATAGTCTATCCAGAAGTATTATTAGATTAGTAGTAGTAAGATTAGATAGTTATTTTTCTGATCGACATGTCATTATGTTATTTATACGTAATTACAGTAACGGAGCTCACGTGATCGTCCGTGCTCAACGGCAAAATTCTCGGAAAAGCAGATTAAATAAATTATCGATCAAAGATTTTATAGACCGTAAGTTTTTACAAAATTTATTCATATATTTTTTGAGCAATTAGTTGAGTAACTATATTATAATTGTCAACTTTATA